GCCCCCAGAGGTGAGATTAGCCCCCTCACTCCTGGCCTTCCGGAGGGATTTGAAGACCTGGCTCTGCCATCTGGCCTGGGGTGGGGTGGGGAGGGAAGACATCAGGTGTGGGGATGGCTAGCCCCTTAGAGGCCTGGTGTTTGCTGCTCTGAACCATTGGCCTCCTGGACTCTTTAGTAATTGTTTTGTACAGGTTTTAGGTTTTATGTATATTTATTTATTGTTTTAATGAGTTGTGAGCCACCCAGAGTCCCCCATTAGGGGGAGATGGACGGGGATTAATAATAATAATAATAATAATAATAATAATAATAATAATAATAATAATAATAATAATATAAAGAAACTCCTTTGCTCCCATCTAGTGGTTTTCCAGCCTTTTGCACCCCCAGTCTGGTAGTTCTACCTAATGACTTCTAAAATAAAATGGATATAATGCAGTCAGGTAGACACGTCAACATTTGGGGAAAGATTATGTTAGTTTTTTTAAAATAGCAGATTGCGGTAGATTGAGAAGATTGAAGAAGTTGATAGACATGTCATCATTTGGAAAAAGATTGTGTTAGGGGTTTTTTTTTAAACAGAAGGTGGATCTAAGCCCTACAAAGCTTTGGTTTTAGATATATCAGAATGCTTTTTGCTTTTGTTTCTTAAGAGTATTTGGTGATGTTGTGCTGACCCTGAAGCAAGGGGTTTAGATAGGAGCTTTGTGAAAGATTTTCCTCTTATAGATTCCTTTGTTTCCTCAGACGTTTGTCTGCAAAACTGGGGCGAGCCTCAGGAGCAGAGTGCTGCAGGGGGAACTATGCAAAAATCATGACAACCACCTCTTCCTCCTCCTCCTTTCATGGAAGAAGCCCTTCTGGCCCTGGAGCGGTCAACCTGGATCCAACGATTTATATATGCTAAAGGCAAAGCAAACCACTTCTGAAAATGTTGCCGACAAAATTGAATGCACTTGTCTAGGCAGTTGCCAAGAGTCAAAACTGCATTTTAAATAGCCTCTCACCCCTGCTTGTATTTTTAAAACATATCAACTCTAAGAGCACAAATGTTGATGTGGAAAGTTATGGAAAGTAATACAGATTGATAAAGACTGCTTAAAGGCAAATCTGTTGCATTCATAAGCAACTTGCTCCCAAGTAAATAGGTACAAGATTGCATCCTACAAAATACAGAAGAATTTTGTAATAACATATGGCATTAGATAAGAGATTCCTTTCTATGACAACAATAATTGATATTTGAACAACCTTTGGAAGATAAAAATTGCTAACTAGTTTACAGCAGAACAATCCTAGGGCCCAGTTAGAGCACACTGATGTTGAAACATTCTGACAAAGCCAGTGCACTCTAACAATAGGCTGAAATTTGGAAGATGAGTAGCATTTTCTACTCTTTTACATTTTTAAAAAAAAATCTCATGTGAAAGATAGGAGAAGGTTTAACTTAACTAACAAGAACAGGACTGGTCTAAATTTTTCTACATGTTGGAATATCCCTCCATTTGGGCCTTTCTCATGTTAGACTTTGAAAACAATCAATCTCATAAATTGGCAAGGAGATGGGAGGAACAATCCAAGATTTCTGCTCACTGTCATTCAAGCCCTAGTCACCTCCCGTTTGGATTTCTGTAATGCACTCTACATGGGGATGCCCTTGAAGACTATCCGGAAGCTTCAGCTGGTGCAAAATGCAGCGGCGGGAGCAGTTAGGTATGCCCCTATATGTTACACCTCTGCTCTGCAAGTTGCATTGGTTGCCAGTTTGCTTCCGGGTCCAATTCAAGGTGTTGTTTTTGACTTTTAAAGCCCTTCATGGCATGGGGCCAGGTTATCTGAGGGACTGCCTCTCCTCAGTTACATCTGCCTGCCCCATCAGGTCTGGCAGAGCAGGCATGCTGCAAGTCCCATCTGCCAGGGAATTACCTTTGACGGGTCCCAGGAGGTGAGCCTTCTCTGCCATGGCACCTCCTTGTGGAATCTTCTCCCCCCCCAAGAAGTGAGATTAGCTCCATCCCTCTCAACATTCTGCAAGTCCCACAAGACCTGGCTATGTTATCAGACCTGGGGATCCCAGGGGACCGGGGAGATTTTGCAATGGCTCCCTTATTGCGGTTAATATCATCCTCTCTGTTTTGTGTGCTTTTTATAGTAATTTTTTTAATTGTGAAAATTTTATGTATTTATTGTTTTTAATTAAGGTCTGTACACCACTCAGAGTCATTTTTATGTGAGGTGGGCAGCTATATAAATATGATAAATCAATAAATTTCCAACCTTCAGATCTACAGCCCTCTCTCATATTTCTCAAGGGGACAATCTAAGTTATTGCATGCACCCCAAATGCTTGGATTGGAGGCAACACATCATTAAAATCCCCCCAAGCTCTTTTATACCAAACAAGGTGGAGTAGTAGCATTTCAGAGAAGTGTATACATTACAAAACCTTTAAGACAGTGCGCTCATCAAATTTATTGAAAGGTGGAGCTGATTTATTAATCACTAGAACATGAATCATTAATATTATTTTGATGGATATATGCTTGGTTTGTATAAACTGCTTTAACTTTTTAATGCTTTACTTTTATTTAAAGACAAAGAGATTTATATGTTTATAAATTTATGATTTATATCTGTACTTTCACATCATTTTCAACAGTTTCACATGTGTTACTAGATTCACAATCTGGTATATTCAATTAGATCCCCAGTTTAAAAGTAGACAGGAACAACTTTTTTTTAATTACTATTTTTCTTTCCCTGAGCTACCCACTGTACTTCCTATTCTGTTTTGTTTTTTAATCAGTGGCCTGTTTTATCATACTTGCTGCCACTGGAGGCAGCAGGGATTCATCCCAAATAGCCCAAATAGATAAGTGCTGCAAAGGACCTGGGCCTGATTTTAAATAATAAATCAAATAAATCTTATCACTAAATAAACAAACAAAGCTCCAGAGTTTCAACTTTCCACCAGCGATCTGACTAAAAAAAGAAAAGTCCTCTGGAAAAATGGGTAGTTTGGGGGGAAAAAAATAAATGAAGTTGTTATGGCAAATTTCAAACCTGGTCCTTCCACATGTCAGGTAAGCATGATAACCACTATGCTACCAAGACAGTACTGTAGCAATAACAGGCAGCAGAGTCAAGATGGCCATCCTGGGAAAGTGCAAGAAAGGAACTTTTATTTTAAAACAGGTTGCCCTGTGTACACATGAGGCTTTAACTTTTTCTAAAAATTAGATATAAGTAATAAGCCAAAGCAAAAGTCTTTGACAGTGTATAACCCACCAGCATAAATAAGAGGCTGTATTCATGTCTCACATGTAACCAGATCTAGCAGATTATGTGAACTTGTCCCCTTTAGAGGAGTTAATGGTTCAACAGCTCAGTGTTGTAAACCCTAGAAAGGTTCTAGGTGTTAATCGCCTTGATGGTATTTCTTTCATTGAGTTTGGACTTTAAGATCTTCTTTACTCTCATGATATATTTGCTACTAACCTTCTTTTTGACTTCAGTGTGCTTGGTCAGCTTGAAGGATGCCCAGATATTTTTTGTTGTTATTGTTGGTTGCACAGTCAGCCAGATGTTTAAACTGGATTTGGAATTTTTATCTATCAAGTCCTTCCATGGACCTGGGATAGGCAGATGCTGTTGTTTAGTGGTGTTAAAGGTATCATTGCAGGATGTAAGCTGTTCCAAGTATAGTTGCCTTTTGCAATTCAGTGATGGTGACTTTGTCAATTTTGCATTATTATTTTTTCATCATCATCATCATCATCCTGCCTTTTATATATGTATGTACTGTACAGTGCATTCAGAAAGTATTCAGACCCCCTTCACTTTTTTCAATTTTGTTATGTT